ATTAACATAAGAATAAAAAAAAAAAGCGATCTTAGTGTAGTCTTACTATTTCTTGTAGGGCTGAGCTTGACTAGGAGTTAACAAATCCGGATTCTAGTTCCAATGCCATCGCTGTCTGGTTGCACCTATGAACAAATCACTCTAACTTATTCTGGACCTACTTTTACCTTTCATAGATTTGTCAGAGAAGAAAGAGCATGTTTAGATTTTTAGATAGGGTTATATGGATGAAATAAGGTATCTGAAAGAATTCTGAAATATCAGAATGAGCCTCATTTCTTTATACCCCAAGTTAGTGTATCATTGTATAACTCTTTTAAAGAAATGGTCAATTAAAACTTTAAACAAAAATCCTTTATAAAGAAGAATGGTAGAACTCCCATTTGTAAAAGTAAAAAGAGATTGCTCCTAATGTGAGAATTCTTAGTGCTACCAACTGTTATTTTCAGATATTTTTATCCATTAAGAGTCAAAGAATGATTTTTTCCCTTCTTAGTGTAAAGATGATAGTGATCTCGCACTTCCACACATCCTCTGTTCTTGCACTCCCGCCTTTCTGACCCTGCCTTCTGTCACCACGGTTCCTCCTCCCTGACCCACCTCTTACATGCACAACTTGCATCTGCTGTTAACATCCACCTGTCTTAGGAACAGGAGTTGTTTTTAGGAAAAAGGGGATGATGGGTTTGGCTCCAAACAAAAGTCTAAACATTAAGTTTAGTATTTCAAAACTTCATCTTACCCTACTCTATCAGCCTTCACTCTCACTCTCTTCCCTCATTCTATAAGGCTACCAAAAGGTTGGACACGTGCTGATACTGATCCTAAGTTTCTGTATTACCTTGGGCTTTTGCTTGTTTGCTTTTCAGTCTTTTATGCTTCTTTAATTCCCTGTTTCTGTCTCTCTTGACAAAACATGGTGTTCTATTCAACATTATATTCACAAGAGTGTTTAGGAGATTGTTCTTGGGCAATGAGAAGCAGTCCACAAGAGCTGTTGAATTAAAGTGAATTGCTGGGCCATGTTTTCAGTTCTGGGTATCAAATTTAACATGTCAGGGACCTGGACAGAGAGTAAGTCTCTAGTGTTAGTGTGCTAGAAAAAAGTCTCTAAGTGTGACTAGAAGGGAAGAGTTATGCTGTCTGACCAGTAAATGCTGGAGCTCACAATACACGAATTGCTAGAAATCAGTCACCTATGGCAGACACTCCGAGTCATGAGTGTTATTCTACAATGCTCAGGAATTGTTTGATGTCTTTGACACACAGGATACATTTAAAGCCTATGGAGAGTCTATAGAACATAAGAGGTGTGCTTCAGAATTTAGGTAGGTTTTAAAAACAGAAAGGGTAAATACTACATGTTTGAATAAAAATTTCATTATACAGTCTCCTTCATCTTTTGTTTAGGAAAAAAAATCAAACTTGAAAAAAACATTTCAAGTGGGACAAGGCACAGCTGCTATTATTATTATTATTATTATTATTATTACATGAAGGTATCTTTCTCAAGAAACATTTCCTAGCATTTGGAGCCCTGTGAAGGCCACATCTATATGAAGAAATAGGGGTGTTACCTTGAACTTTGTCATTGATAGGCTTCCCAAGCCTTTAAATTTTCTGTCCATTCATTCTCATCTATCCTGCCTATTTGATTCACATTGTATTTTCTCCTTAGATTATTAAAACGGGAAGAAAGTTTCACATTTATTCCTCGGTCCCGTGAAGAGCTTCCAGATAACTTTCCAAAGGAAATCCCTGGGATCTGCTATTTCCTGGAGGTAAGGACTGGTCCTAAGCAGCCAAAGCCTTCTCTTTCTTCCTCGAGGATAAAAAAAGTTTCCTACAACATTGGCACCATGTTCCTCCGGGAGACAAGCCTCTGAGACCTACCACAGATCAAAGACTCCTCCAAAAAGCACAAGCCCAGAACATGGGTCATGACAGGAGAGTGGAATGAGATGGTTTCTCTTTCACTACTTGGCTGAGAACAAGCAGCGGAATTTCTGTGTTATGTTAGGCAATAATCCTAGAAAAAGGTGGATGATGACTGTCAATTAAAAAAAAATGGAGGGGGGAGGTAATGAGATGTGTCCATCCATGTGAGTGTTTTTTGGTCATATATATATATATGTATATATACATATATATATATATTTTAAGTATGGGCCCCCTTTCACAACTAATAAATAGATTCCATGTTTTCTTGTTTGTCACACATACAGGTATCTTTCCCCACTTATCTGTATCACTTTTGAGAGCCATTTTTGATGATATATTCCTACATTTAGTGAGTTGGTGTGTGAGGACTATTTTCTAATTTTGTTTTTCTGAACAGACATTTCATACATACATCATGGCAGTGTGGTCAACTTCCCAGCAGGAAGAACTGTAACTCAGCAAAATATTTTAGGGATATTACCTATTTTTATACATCTCTCTTCTAGATGATTACATTTCACACAACATTACTCGATTTTCAGAATCTGCTACTGTGTAGTTGGTATATTATGTAACTGTAACCTATTAATCAAATATACTTTCACTTATTTAGACAGATTAGTGCTTGGACTGAGAATACATATAACCAAGGACTTCAGATGCTGAGAAAGCATTGTATGTCTGCTTAGTAAATATATCTTTTAGATTTAATTAATGTAGCATGGAATCCAGAGGAAATAGAATTTCCCAGTAAGAGATTTATCTGTAATTAGGATTACAGAAAAGTCTTGTTGCCATCTTCTAAAAAACATCAGTTAAAATGAAATGCTTTGCTGCATTGGACCCTTTTCAACTTAGCACTTATAAAATAGGTAGTTTGTACAATGTACTCAACTATATTCTAATAATTTCCATGACTTGTTACTCCTCCCCCCACCTCTGCCCACTCCGCCCACTCCGCCCCCCGGATGCCTCCTAAGGGCTACCTGACAGTGGGAGCAAATTCCTAGATGTTGGCATTAGTGAGAAAGAGGTTGTAGGACGTTTTGCCGAGAATGTTGTTTCTTGCAAAATAAGGGGGGAAGAAAACCTGTGTTTTATGGCTTTGAGATTAAAAAAAAAAAAAAGGAATTTTTCTTCTGCAGTTTGATTGATGTGGCTTTAAATTCAGTGAATCACCTTCATGAACACTGAAGTAGGTCTAGCCTCCAGGCCCAGTCATTGCCATAGTGACAGGCTTCTATCGCATGTGGTGCTAAAATGAAGACCTGTTCCCACTAATTAGCACTGCATGAAAATATTATCACACACTCACCCTGAAATTAGGAGCACAGTACATCCAGAGTTTTCCTATTTTGGATCTAATCTAAAACCCAAGTTTCTACTGAGGTTAATGAACTGGAAATATTTGTTTCCGTGAAACCTTGGAGTGGCCGTTTTTCTCCAGACGATATAATCATTGAGAGCTTATGTCTACTGAATGTAATAGAGTGATTTCTCTGGTTAGGCATTTTGGCTGCATTATGATTTGTTTATGCTGTAACTCAGCTACGGAGCATATTAACTGATGTCCAGTGTAGTCTGTGAGGCTTGTTAGTGTTTTTAAGTTCTCTAAGTGTGTAGCTAGAAAACATTTATCGATATGCAAAGTATTTGTTATAATGGCGATCACTTCTGTAATTGTTGAACTCTGTTTCACCCCAAGGCTTATGAGGACACTAGTGCAACAGATAGTTTGGAGACAGGATCTAGACGAAGAGCTTTCTGAAGCCTGGCCTATCCCTCTCCTCCCTGGGTCTAGGTCTCTGTTTTTAACAACGTGGGGGGGCCAGAAGGCCAGTGTGTTTATTTGAGGGGAGTTTTATAGACTGGGGACAGGGTGCTCTCATGGGGGTAATTACAAAGGAATTTCTTCAGAGGACTGGGAAATTAACCCACTTCCTTCACGGGGAACAAGGGGGAGGTTTACAGTTACTGTGGACAGAACAGGCTGGGAGCACCTCAGTCCTCACACTGAAAACAGACAACACTTTAGCCAGGTGCTCTGTACAGCACAGGAACATGGGGAGAGAACCCAGCTTCACTGAAATAATTTATGCTTATTTTGCATAGGAACTTAGAGCTTATTATGATAAACGAAATCAATAAATGTTTTGGTGGTAAGCAATGTGTTTCATAACCATAAGGCTGCAAGGGACTTCCAGTAATCATCCAATCTATTTCTCTGCTTTTTGTGAAGATTTGTCTAAGCAACTACTCTAGATATATCATCATTCTCTCTATACTTAAGAATATCTGTGGGAAGCATATTTTAAAAACATCATTGAAAATCCACTTCATTATCCAGTACTTGGTAATAGGGCCCAAGACACGAATTGTATATACATTCAATTTGTCGAAAGAATAACAAACTCTTTTAGTTTATATGGTTCTTAGAGAAGAAGTAGCCATTTACACTGTCACAAATGTTACAATGAAAAATATACCAGAGATCTATTATATATTACAGAATATAAACTACACTTTTCAAACAATATAATCTAAATGTATTCTTGAAGCTATAGTCTGAGGCACTAGTCTAATCTGTTACCAGATTGCCAATTATTAGTTACTCTGTTGCTATGTGTTTGCAAGTTACTGCATAAAGTGGCTGTTAATTCTAGCTGCACTCATAGAAGTTAGAAGCTGTGAAAAACTATTATATTTTTATTTGTCCTATGTAATACAGTCTACATATCCTCCGTTTAGGAATTGTGACTGCAACACTGGGTCATAGTTAGTATTTCATTTGACCAATATCTGTACAGTATTCTTACCTAAAAATTATTGCAAACATCATGCATTTTAGTGTGGCAGATTAAAAAGAATGTAAATGGATGTCCTATTAGAAATCAAGGTGATATTAAATTAGGGAAATGGCTTTGACCCACTCTAAAAGGGATACATCAAAATATAATTTGGTACTTACAGCTCCTCTGGTTCGGTGGTTTTTTTTAGGCAACTCATTTGAAGAAGTCACTTTATGACTAGGCATCAGTATTATTTTGATAGAAACGAAGTCATTTGCAAATAAATCAGTTACCCCACAAAGTCACATAGGTACCCCCAAAGAATGCACAGTATGTGCTCTGGGAATCTTAATAAATAGGTACCATTAGCCATAATAAAAAAAGAATACTCCTCAATGCCTGCAGAGCACGAATCGTTGCATCTCTCCACTATATAGCATGGTAAATAGCGAGGGAAAGAAGATAAAGCTTCTACGTAACAGGTGACCAAACTGTCTAAAACCTGCCTTGATATTCATTTCTTCTACTTTAAATTATTCTGGATTTCCCTTTTAATATATGACTCTGTGGAGTCCAGTGAGCCATGACCTATTATGACTGAGTCAGGCTCCTCTGCCTGAGGCTGAGTGGGACCATGGATTCAGCACTTCAAATGTAAACTCTCACAGTCTCACGCTTGGTTCTCTTGTCCAGGGATAACAGTATCAGAGACAGTGTTCTGTTGTTAAAGTGCAAAGTGTGTCTCTCCGGGAAACACAGAGCAAAGCAAGGCAACAACTTAGACAAAATCTCATTCACAAGTGCAGCCCGGCTTTTAATTTTGTAAAATGCTCCAAAGATTTCCAGCACTAAAGCAAAATTAAATTGATATATACAAAAGGCAAGCCTCAGAGTTTGGAAAACCACCAAACTCTGTGTTTTGTACAGAAATATTGCTGCCAATTGATCTCACATATTTGTTGTGAGATATCAGGAAGGAAATCAAGATCACGACTGTAATTAAATATATTCACTGAAGGCTCCTTGGGATCCTGGCTTGCTGAGGGAAGGTGTTATGGATCATTAGGGCAGAGAAGAAAACTTGTACACGTGGGTTTCTGTCTTATCAAGCATTTTGAGCACTACAGAGCCCATGCCCAGACCCTGTCTACTCCGTGCTGTCAGTGGAAACCATCTCACTCCCTCAAACCTGGCCCCAACAAACGCTAGCCTCTCTGCACCTCTGAACCTCACATGGCCATGGCAAGAGTTGCTGATTTCAGGCAGACAGGAAGACCCACGTAACGATGCGCTTCTGAAGTGGACGAACCATTCCCATTTGTGCTGGGGCATTGCTAACATCTGAAGCTTTTCCCTGTGCTTTTCCTTCCAAAAACACTCTGACTCCAAGCACTTGGTGTAACTTTACCAAAAATTCACTCGAAGTGAATTATATATGGTCCTGAATAGGCTTTGGGGGACACCAGAGGCCTTTTAGCCAACAATGCCTAGAAACTCAAGTCCAAGAACCAAGAACCAGTCAATAGCAACCTAGGTATTGTTATTATTAGGTTACAGATCCTCAACTATAAAAATTATGTTATTTTAGGGGCTTCTATAAGCCTATCTTACCAGGTACAGCTGGAAAAACATGGTGCATGAGAGACTGAGTAATGAGAATTTAACATATGCCGGTCTGCATGACAATTCCTTACGGGCAGCTCTAGATATGCATACACGTCATTCACAAGCAGCTGATTTCATATCTACATAAAGTGTGTTAACATGACTGAACAAACTTTACTGTTACATGGGTAAATTGGCCCCAGCAGTGGACTCAGTTTGAGGGTCCTCGAGGTGGTGAATGAAGAACAGACACGGGTATTATATACAGATGAACATAAATCTTGTCAGAATACACTGAGATAGTGTGCAAAATTCCTTTCTCACACTTGCAACCTAAGTATTACTATCCTGCCACCTTTCTGTTTCCTTCCTTTGTTCCTTTTCCCTTTCATAAAAAAAAAGTCAATGATACAGTCCATCTCATGTTGTAAAATAGTTTCAGTTTTCTCAAGTAATGAGTCCTTTTTGTGGGTGGATGTAGGGATGTGTGCGTGTGTGTGCTGCATGTAGATATTACGTGATTAAAAGGAGTGACATTTTGGAAGGGCCTGGAATGTCGAGAAGTTTGCATTTTTATTTCCAATATGTTGTGACCAGAACACAACTTCAGTCAAGTGCTTCATTGCATTCCCATCCTTATTAAGAAATGATCCTGTTCAATGGTTCAACTCATCAGCATGACAGTATCTTGCTGCCCCTGTAAGAATTACCTAGGAAGCCTTCAGAAATACAAATTACTGAGCTTTACACCTGCAGAGATTTGGATTCAGTAGGTGGCAGGTGTGGCCTAGGAGTCTGTATTTAGAAAATCACTCTAGGTAATGAGAATAAAAGCCAGATTTGGGCATCACTGAAGAGCATTCAAATAATCCCAATTACCAGGAATAAAAGCAAGTTGACTAAGAGGGTAGCATATTATTTCATTTGTAGTTATTCTGAAAAGCTAAGTATTCTGGGCTTTGTAGCATTATTTCTTTCACAAGTTCTAATTTTAGCTTTGGTCTCAAATTTAAAGTCTGCTTTTGGAGCAGGAGACTTCAAACTTATTAGAAACAGAAGTCAACACTAAGAAGCGTGAGGAGAGACTACTGGTCACCCTAGGGCTATGAGGCACAGTGGACCCAGTGCCGTTTTCTGAGTTACCACCGGAGCTGTGCAGTAGCTTGCAGTATTTACCGATCCGCACCACCAGGCTATGAACTACAAACTTAGGGACAGAAAAGTGAATGTAAAAGTGACAGCCTGATTTCTGAATGCTTTGATTTTTATGTTATAAAGAAATCACCAACTTAATACTTAGTCTCACTCTGTCCTTCTCACACTGAACTGTGCATTCATCTAAAAATGATTTCCTAGCAATACTTTATTACAACCTTTCAAGCAATAATTTAAGCCGTTGTATGATGCCATATAAAACCTGCACTTCTGTGCACTTCATAGAACCTTTAGGGAAATAGAGACGTGTTTTATACAGCAATAGTATAGCTGGTGGGACTTTCAGAGGATAGTCGTGACTCTCCTACAGCAAAATGAGCAAGTGATAACTTGGATAGAAGTTATCTGAGCAAATGACATGGTTCATCGATCTCAGAAGCCATTCATTTGCACACATGCTATAAAGTAATAGACTCCCATCGTGTTATTTCTGTTGCATAATTTTAAAAATACCTATCATAGTAAGATTTCTATTCCTCTGAAGAGATCTGTGCATGTAATGTTGCCCAGACTTTCGGGTCTTTGTAGAACATAATAGTGAGGACTATTTAAGGATGGATAAATGAGTAAAGGTACAGCATAGGTTGGAGGAGTTGATTGAGAATGTAGGCTTTGCAAAAATACAGATGGATCTTGGGATAAGTTAATTCAATTCTTGCTTTGGTAAGGCCTTAGAAGATGAAAGATTAAAGATAAAAAGAGCTCATTACTACTGTTTTCTATGATAGCAAATATTTAGTAAATATAATAGTATGGTTGGACATCACCTGTAGTATAATTAATAAACATCTGAAAATGATTATGTAGCCATATTGGAAATAACTTGCTCTTCTCAACTATTTTGATGAAAGCACTAAAGCTTATATATTTCAAAATGAGTAATTCATATTTTTAACCTTAAAATGTAATTTTAATCAAATATAGCATAGTCCATAATAATCAGTCCTTTATAGTTAGATTACTCCTCCATCATTTAGCATAACATAGCTCAAGGCAGGTGGTAAACTTATGTTACAATGAGGGATTTCTAAACATCAGATTGTTATTTAGCAAAGTCATATAAATTTAGGATCCATTCCTAAACCTCTAAATAAGATTACAGCTCCTATTATTGCCTCTCCTCTCTGGGTAAACTCTCTTCTAATCATGAATCTGAATACAATTGGAGTGGTGGGTGGGTTTGCTGCTAGTTTACCTTCCTGTTAACCATTGCAAAACTTAAGGTAGCATCCTTCTTTTTTTTTTTTTCTTCATTTCTTTTTTTTTTTTATTCTTATGTTAATCCCCATACATTACATCATTAGTTCTAGAT